TGGAAAAGAGAAACATGAGAGCCAATAGAATTTATAGGCTTTAATTTCTGCTTTCCATAGTTATTCCTATAGATATTTTGGGTTTATTCAAGCCAAGGGTGGTGGAAATTAAAAGCACAAATTAGTGTTGTTGTTTCTTTTTTTAATTTGTCTACAAAACAGAAAGGTGTACCCCTTACCCAGATATAGCTAAACCGTCCCCATTTTGACAATATTCACAGAGAGGCCAAAGAGCCCCGCCTTGTTTACAACATTTTTGGTTTCTTAATGGCAGCTAAAGTGTTGTTTAAAAAAATGTCTAGTCAGCTCAACAACAACAACAATCCTGTTAACAAATGGGCAAAGGATATGAATCGACATTTCTCCAAAGAAGATACACAAATAGTTTATGAGCACATGAAAAGATGCTCAGCGTCACTGATCATTAAGATAATGTAAATCAAAACTACAATGGGATACCACCTCATACTCACTAGAATGGCTATTAGGAAAAAAAGAAAATAATTGTTGGGGAGAATGTAGAGAAGTTGGAACCCTTGTACACTGCTGGTGGGACTGTAAAATGGTGCAGCTGCTGTGCAAAAGGTATGGCAGTTCTTTAAAAAGTTAAACATAGAACTGCCATATGATCTGGCAATTCAACTTCTAAGTATATGCTCAAGAGAATTGAAAACAGGGTTTGGAATAGATTGTATACCCATGCTCATAGTATCATTATTCACAGTAGCCAAAGAGTAGACACAACCCAAGTATCTATCAATAGATGAATAAAAAACAAAATGTGGTATATACATGCAATGGAATACTATTCAACCTTAAAAAGGAAGGGAATTCTGTGTAGTATGCTACAACATGGATGAACCTCGAAGATATTATGATAAGTGAAATAAGTCAGTCATAAAAATGACAAATACTATATGATCCTACTTATATGAGGTACCTAGAGTAGTCGAATTCATAGAGGCAGAAAGTAGAATGGTGGTTTTGCAGGGCTGAGTGGTGGGAAGAAGGGGAGGTACTGTTTAATCCGTGCTGAGATTCAGTCTGGGAGGGTGAAAAGGTTCTCGAGATGGGTGGTGGTGGTTGCACGACAGTGTGAATGTACTTCTTACCACTGAACTATACACTTAAGATGGTTAGATGTTAAGTTTTACATTATACATATTTACCACAATAAAATAACATTGCTAGTTTAGGAATTTGGCAAGACCAATCAAGACCTAAGGCCGGGTTCCTCCCACTCCCTCCCTAAATTCTCACATTACCCAAGTGGTGGATGGCAAGCTTCTCCAGAATTACCAGACTTGCTTTGTCTGCTGGGGAACAGAAACACCTCAGCTGAGGACCATCATGCACCTGAAGCAACCACAGTTCATCTCAGAGCTGAGGACCCCACCATGCTCTTCTTAAAGGAGAATACCTCGTGAACACCAGATGCTACCACGCTGGATGTGGCACCTTTCTGGAGCAGCCGGGGCCCGAGAGCTGTGCCACCTCCCCTCACCAAACCTATAACTTGTCTGATCTAAGAAGCTCTGTGGGCATTTCCCTGAATTGATACTGGTATTGAAGGAAACAAACATCTTTTCAAGGATTGAGACTCATACTTTCTTAAAATGGCTAGAAATGAAGTGGTCACAATTGATGTTTTTAAATTCCCAAATTATAGATAGCAAAGCAGGTTGTGAATGGGAGGAAGGGGAGGTGGAACCTGGGTTGGCATATAATAGGCAGTCCACTTGGTCTGTTTAGAATCTGCTCAGAGTGCACGTGGAGCAGCAGCAGCCTGCCAGCTGGCGAGCTCCAAGCAGAGTAGCGTGGAGCTCTTTGTGGGTAATTTGGAAGCTGCCTGGCCTGTGCTCCTTGAGGGTCCTCTCTCTTTCCAGGGCCATCTCCTGCAGAGCTTAGTGTCCTTGCTAACAGGCACCAGCACCAGAACACTGCTCTCCTGTCTGTGAAATCTCAGAGATTTGAATCTGAGGACAGAGCTGGTTTCACTCTGACCACGTAGGGCAGGGGCCGGGGAGCAGGGGTAGCAGGTACAGTCTGATACATGTGCTGATCGTGATGACGAAGGAAGGGGCTATTTCCTGGGTTTGGGAGCTAATATGTTACACTTAAATCATATTAACTTCTCACCCTAGATTTTGAGTGTCAGAACCCCTTATAGGGAAAAAAGATTGGAAAATATACCTCCTGGTAGTTTACTAAGAAAATGCATAATGATAAAATTACTTAATTCGGTGATGCTTTCTTTTAACTAAATTTGTATCTTATTCACCTTAATGTGCATTTGAAAGGTAGTGGCACATATGGGAGGGGACATGCCATTTATTTAGTATTCCTCGATGTGCAGTGCGAGCATGTGACCTCACGCCCTGCTCTGGCACCCTGAGAAACTTCTCCCTGCGGTGCTTCTGGGTACACAGAGTGGGAACCACCTTAATCTACTGCTCATTCCTTGCAGCAGTTATACAAGTAAGTATAACATTCCTTATTTTATATATGAGCACAGTGAAACATAAAGAGATTAATAACTTGTCCAAGGACACCAGCTGCTAAGCTGCAGTCGCTGCTGAAAGCGTGGACCTGGCCCACGGCTTTCAGGACCCAGCTGGAACCATCTATTCTTATACAGTTAAGCATGGCCCTAATGGGCTCTGTTAAGGTTTTCTTCCTTCTCCATTTCCTCGCTGTAGCTTTCAGACAACAGCTTGCTACTGACCTCAGGCTTCTGGGCAGCGTCTTCCATGTGCCCCCAGAGCCCTTCGTAGGAAACCATAGACCCACTAATGCATCGGGACCCAGGACAGCGAGTCCTCCACCTTCATCTCACCCTGTGGCTGTCCTGTTAGCAAAAGAAGCCTTCTCTCCCATGAATTACAATTCTAGGTTCATCTAATGAACACAGCAACACGTGGGTGAGCACTGAGTTCTCTTTGGAGGAGAATGTAGAGGGCTGGCAGCTGGAAGGCCCACTTCTCCCCTGCTCTTTGAGATGACTGAGTGTTTAACTAAACCTCAGCCACAGCAATGTCACATTGAGTCAGTGCTGGACGTGAAAAGCCTCGGAGATTTGGATTTCTGACTTTAGAAAACAAGTGCATTCCTTCCCAGAGTGCCTGCCCGCTAGCAAGCCGCTGCACTGCATGGATCCCTGGGTGGGGGCGTGCAGGGCGGGGGTCCATGAGCTGTCCACGAGGGTGCTGAGCCTCAACTGTCAGCTCCACTGTAGCACTGATTAGATTTGAGTTATGCTTCTAGCATGGCCAGTGCCTATTAGTCCAACTGGCTTTACAGCTCTCTGTGTGGGAGGGAGAACAGCAGAGAGAGAGATGGTCCCCACATCCAGAGGAGGCAGGTCCTGGCTCGCAAGTATACTGTGACTTAGGTCAGACAGCCGGGCAGTATGGTCAAGAACCCAACTTTACTGTCCTCCTGACTTTAATTTTTTTGTAAGCCCTGAGCCCTCTAGGCCACCAGCATTTATGTGGCTGACAGCCTCTGGCCACTCTACTTATAGGAGGTTTTCTAAGCCACAAATCTAGACAGCCCTTGGTTCAGGGTCTGTGTTAATGTTATAAACATAACGTTATAAGAGGTGCTCCTGAAAGACTGAGAGGCAGCTATCTTTCACTCATTAAATGGCTTAAAGCTATAAAGCAGGAAGACTATTAAGAGCTCATAAACTTCCAAACCCTGAGGCCAGCAGACACGAATGGATGGATGACAGGTGTGCCTGCCAACGTCACAGAGGCTCTGCTCTGACCTTCTTTCCTGTCTCCTTTGCTTCCTCCTTTGAAAGAACTCTTGCCTCTAATCACCAGGCATCTCCCTTTCTCATCAGCAATTGGATACTGTGTTTTCTTTTTTAAATTTTGTGTTTCATAATTGTTTTTAATGAAAAATATCTAATTGTAGTAAAATAGAACATAAAATTTACCATCTTAACCATTTTTAGGTGTACAGATAGGTGGTATTAAGTACATTCATGTTCTTGTGTAACCATCACCATCATCCATCTACAGAACGTTTTTGTTTACTTCAACTGAAACTGTACTCATTAAACACTAACTTCTCATTTTCCCTCCCCGCAGTCCCTGACACCCACCATTCTACTTCCTATTCCTGTGAGTTTGACTACTCTAGGTCCTGCATATAAGTGGAATCAGACAGTATTTGTCCTTTTGTGTCTAGCTTATTTCACTTAGCATAATGACCTCAAGATTCATCCATGTTGTAGCATGTGTTAGAATTTCCTTACTGTTTTAGATTGAATAATATTTCATTGCATGGATATCCCACATTTTGTTTATCCATTTGTCTGTCAGTATACATTGGGTTGTTTCCATGTTTCGTCTATTGTGAATAATACTGCTATGAACATGGGTGAAAATATATCTCTTTGAGACCCTGCTTTCAATTTTAGGGGTATAAATCAGAAGTGGAATTGCTGGATCATATAGTAATTCTTTCTCATAGCAGCTGCACCATTTTACATTCCCACCAGTAGTGCATACACAAGGATTCTAATCCCTCCACATTTTTGTCAACACTTATTTTCTGTTTATTTTTATTTTTATTTTTATTATTATTCTTTTAATAATAGCCATCCTAATGGGTGTGAGGTGATGCAAGTTCAGCACATGTGGTCTGAAAATGTAATGGGATTCTAAAGAGAGTCCATATCACAGCTAAAATATTTAGGCACATTTCTAATATCAGCCAAACACATTGTGTGCACACATGCACACACACCCTGTCTGTGCCACATGGCACGGTTCCAGGTGCCTCCTGGTACCCTGGTCACAAGTGGTGGTGACCAGGTGCCTCGCCCACCCCTATGTAGTGAGCCGCATTTGCAGAAAGCACATGACCTTTTGAAGATCACTCATGAAGACAGAGGTCTCTCCTTATGTTTGTTTCTTTTTTTAATTTATTTTTAATGTATTTTTTTATTTTTCAATTGTAGTTGACAAGTGTTTGTTTCTTGACTGCAGAACCATGACCATGCCTGCATAGCCTGTCGCATCATCCACCGGTCAGATGAGCACCGCCCGCCCCTCCTGCCCCCCAAGGCTGACCTGACCGTCGGCCTACATGGCGAGTGGGTGAGCCAGCGCTGCGAGGTTCGGCCCGAAGTCCTCTTTCTCACGCGCCACTTCATCTTCCACGACAACAATAACACCTGGGAAGGGCATTACTACCACTACTCAGACCCCGTCTGCAAGCACCCCACCTTCACCATCTACGCCAAGGGCCGCTATAGCCGGGGCGTGCACTCCTCTAGGGTCCTGGGAGGGACGGAGTTTGTGTTCAAAGGTAGGGCTCCTGCCTCAGATCCCAGTGTAACAGCCCAACAGGTGAGGGACAGTGAGCAGTTTTGTGACATTTTTTTGTTGAGGTAGAACCTGAGGACAGGGGACTCTTTTCTGCTGGAGATTTTGGGCAAGAGATTATAGAGTACTTTCTATCCCAGGGTCATCATTCACAGCAGCCTCTGAGCTCCTCTCTGTGCAGAGCAGGGCCAGACAGTGTGGGCAGCTCGGCCTGCAGGCTGTGCTGCCATGGAGCCCACACCACTGTGCACGATGTCAGGTGTAGTCCAGGACTTACTAGGAATGAAATCTCAGGTCTGCATGTTTTCTTTTTTATGTGTAGCTCATGGCAGATTCTGAGCTACTTCTGTGATAACATCATACTTACTGCATGCACTGTGCTCTCTTTAGTGGACAGTAAAGAGCAGGTATTAGTTACACCTCAGGACCTCAGAGTTGTCACTTCCAAAGCTGGGTTTGTCTTGCACCAAGAAGTTGTCATGTGCTCAGAGGTCAGAGGTTTAGGATACATAATGAGCAAGGAAGGTAAGGGCTGAGATTGGCTGAGATACTATCAGGAAGGGAGGTCTCATGGTCTCTATGACTAGATTTCTTTTTAAGGCGTGTACATCTTTGTAAGATGGTGTGAGCTTGGTCATGGCCGAGAGGGACTGCCTGGACACTGGGTGTGACCCCTTTCAGGATAGAATTCGTTGGTTCAGTTTATTTAGTATAAAGTATTTCTGCTAACACCAGTAAGTCCTAGGGCATCTTAGCCTTCCTCTTAGGAAGGAAGATTTGTTCCAGGAAGAATGGAGCTTTAATAGTTGTAGCTGGGAGAACAGTCATCTTTGTCTGATTTCACCCCAAGGCTCTCATAGTGTACAGAGAACACAGTGGGAGGGCCTTTGAAGGCCCCTGGGAGGGCCTTCAAAAGTGGTCCTCTACAGGTGCTGGGATTTGTATTTAATACATTTACTCATATATTTGTTCCTTTTAGTTGCCTGATTTATGGGCCAGTATTAATTTATAAGACTTCTAACTAGTATAGGTGTTTGACAACAAATCTATTTTAAAACTTCAAGACCTTTTCATAAAAATAAAATTCCAGTTTTATTGAATATTTTGTTAGTCACAAAGAGTCAGTGTCACCAAAGACGACTCCTTGGAGACACTTTGTGTGAAAGTTTGATTTTGTTATCACAAGTGCGATCAATTGCAATCTGGGCTCAACATTTATATGCCAAATGTAGTAGTTTTTTTCTGATCACACCTGCAGTTCGTTTGTGTGATCTTCATTCAGAGCAACACGTTGGTCTTTCTAGCTGACAATGCTTTTATGCAGGCTGCAGTCAGATGGGTGGATGTAAGGGTTGGTTTTGAAACAGAAGGCCTTGTGGAGATGGGGTGCTGCCCACAGATGCTCCGTGGGCTTTCTGTACTGCATGCTCCCTCCCTTAGAGTCACGGTACTGTCTTCTCTCTTATGCAGTGAATCACATGAAGGTCACCCCCATGGATGCGGCCACAGCCTCGCTCCTCAACGTCTTCAATGGGAATGAGTGTGGCGCCGAGGGCTCCTGGCAGGTGGGCGTCCAGCAGGATGTGACCCACACCAATGGCTGCGTGGCACTGGGAATCAAACTACCTCACACAGAGTATGAGATCTTCAAAATGGAACAGGATGCTCGTGGCCGCTATCTACTATTCAACGGCCAGAGGCCCAGTGATGGGTCCAGTCCAGACAGGCCCGAGAAGAGAGCCACATCCTATCAGATGCCCTTAGTCCAGTGCGCTTCCTCTGTGCCCAAAGCCGAGGACTTCTCTGAGGACCACAGGGCTCACCAGTATGGGAGCCAGGCACCTGGGAGGAGCCCTCGTCCCCGGTTCCTTGCTGTGCTCATCTGCCTTTTGACTCTGCTGCACTGGAATGTCCTCAGATAGAAATTTTAAAAAGTTATATTTTTCCAAACCAGATTCCTCACAATTTACAGATTTTTTTCCTTAGGAAAAGAAAAGAGACTTCTTCTTCCAATGCACTTGAGTGCCTGAGAACTGTCGTTTTTTTTTCCTTCTCTGCCCCATCCTCCCTGCCAGCCTGAGTCAGGAGCAGCACTGTTTGAAGTTTCTGCTTTGAACTCTGTACAGTCAGATCCCTGGCCTGGGCGCCTTCACAATAGTGATTGCACTTTAAGACCACAGAGCGTTTTGGTCTAATGTGTATGGTAGAGGGAGCAGGGTGAGAGCTGTCCTCTTCTTTTCTTCCTCTTAATTATTATTATATTTCTGAGTTGAACTTAGAAGAAACAAATAACCAGCTACACTTTTTCCTGCCATTTTACTACGATTGCTTCCTGTCTTCCTTTGAAACTGTTTTCCTTTCCGAGTTTTACAACCTGGAATCCAGAATTGGTTTGGGACTGTGATCAAGACACCGTTTAATAATAAAGAAGAGACTTGGGTGTAGATATGTACATAGGAAAAGACACCCGGTTTCACTTAACCACCTTGACAGACTATGCAAAAAAGGAGAATTCAAACTTTCAAATTTTGAGTGGAAAACTACCTGTAATTAAAGTTTCAAAATAATTTAAGCTATTGTTTTAGACTGTTGGGAAAGAAATGATGGTTAGATGCTGGTTTCTGGGAGGCTGGGGAATACACACTGTTTTCCTACCTGATTGGGAGACAAGGGTGGCCCAGCAAATATCAAAAGCAGTCCTATTACCAGACAGACAGGAGCAGCACGGGATGGTGACCATGTGGTAAATGCCACATGACCAATAAAGTGCCCATTGGTTCCATCATTTCCTCTTCATGGGACCATTGTCCGGACTGGATGCTGGATCTGGTCAAGGGTGAGCAGATGGTGCTTCACTCTGGCATCTCTGCCACCTTCAAAGATGAATACTCAGAGACCATGCTTTAGTGTTTAAGGGCCTGGCTGTTTAAAGAGAGTACAGTGTGGGCTTCCAAGCTAGGTGCTCCATTAGACCCTCGACTTGTGTGAAACCCAGGCTTTGTGTACAGTCTCCTTAGCCCCGGACATGCCAGCTCGACTCAGTTTCTGTCCTGCCATTGCCTTGGCTCTGTCACTGCAGAGAGTCTCAGGGTCACCTTACACAGACTATATGAGCTTCTTTCTCACAAACATTGGTAGCGTGTATGAGTCATGTCTGCCCATTACTTTGGATTATTACAAATGGTGCTATCTGAACACCAAGTGTCATTGCCAGTAGACAGTGATAGAATGAACTGGTGAGCAACTACAGTCCTGGATGTGGCTAAAAGTAAACGTGGAAACCATGCTGGAGGCCAAGAGTTATACTTGTATTTAAGAAATAAATTTATGAAATGCTATAACATTCGATGTGGTGTTAAGTTATAAGGATGGCATGCAGTATCAAAGTGCTTTATCTTTAGATTATATTTTAAGTTGTGGTGCATACTGAGGAGGTTTATTCAAATAAAAATGCTAACTTAATGTCTGCCAAGTTTAATAAACAACGATGTCAAAAATACTCCCACAAAACACATTTTACCTGTGGATCTATTTAATTACTACTAATGCTATCTTTAAAGGATATAATAAAGTTATGTGAAAACTTATGTTCACTGCTAAAGAATACCTCAGTGATTTACTCTAAAAGTGGTAGATTTATAGCCACTTACCTAGAGTTAGCTATTCACACTTCTAAAATGTGCGCTACATATAAATGTGTACACACATGTATATAGATGCACATGTACATATTTAGATATGTATAATACATGAGATATATATATATATATGTTATATATATATATATGTCTTAGGGATGACATGAAATACACATGGTCATATCTCTTTTTAAGGACTATAATTACATAAAATGACCAATATATTTTATTCACATATTAGTGACACAGATTTATGCCCATTTGTTGCTTTATCAGTCATTTATATCACGTCTTATTTTAACAATAAGCATCTCTAAGCCCCCCATATATCCCATGAAGATCTGCATTCCAGGTGATTTCCTATCACCTTGAAGAAACATGGCAGTCTATCTGTAAGAGTTATTCAGGTTTGAGAGTCAGGAATTTGAACTTAAGGCTAAGATGCTATCTCTGAGGAAGGTGTGACTGAGTCTAGAATATTCCATAACAAGCTTAAAATACTCCATGATAAGCACTCAGGTGCTGACGAATCTACCCCTAAGTTAGTAGCAGGTAGTTCTACTTGTAAATACGAGGTTTGGGAAACGTAGTAAGTAAAGGAGGGCTCTTCTCAACTTCACTGGCCTACTGGAACTAGACTTCTCTTCCTGGGTAGCAGGTTGAAAACAGGATCAGAAAGTTGTTCCTTGGTCAACGATAAAATTTGAGTGTGTTCCAGGCTTCAAACTCTGTGAAGTCCAAGTTGACTCTGGACTCAGAAAGGAGCTTCCTGCAGTCTCACATCTACCCAGTACAGAACAAGGGTCGTTTGTTCAGATATGACAAGCTGGGTTGTGCGCTGTAGAGTAATAACATTCGCCCTAGGCAGCGCCTGACTTCTGGGTGATGATGTTCATCCCAAGCAGTCCATCGCAGCGCTGTAGTGCCGTGGCTGCCCGCTGGGGTAAATCTTGGCGTTCTGCACGAAGGATCCCTGTTAGAGAGGCTGGCAGTCCCGGACATCCTCCACAGGGCCTCATACACACCTTTTAGAAGCCACTGGAATGTAAGACTTGTGGTTCCTGGTTGAAGGGAAGGGAAAGTTCGAACAAAAATATATTAAAGAGTCATTCTCTCTTCCATCATCTCTTTGTATCTTGAAAACAAAGATGATGTCCATAGCAGTCCAGAAACATTGCAATGTTTTATTTTAAAATGGTTTACCCAACCCCTATTATACTAGACATACTGGTTACCTGGCAATGGAATATATAAACCTACAGATAGCATCTAATTAGGCATTTCAGGACACTGTCCTCATAGGAGTATGCTGAATATCCTAAGGTGGGAATATGGGAGAAGGGGTGGTGGGTGGAGATAGAGAGTGGGTCTACTCTGACGCAGAGAACTTCTCTAACGCAGAGAACTTCTCTAACTTGCATAGACTTTTCTGGCCATTTTGAGACATCCAAACTTTTATGGGTCCAAACATAAGGATTTATCAGCATCAAGAAAAAATAAAGGTAGCTTGAATAAATATTTCCTCTTGGTTTTTAGATTCACAAGAAATATATAAGCATTCTTTTCTCACCAGTAAGAGAATCACATGTTCTAAAATACTAACTGGATTATTCAAATTCCTGTGATGATCCAAGAGTGTTTCTGGATCGCATAGTAAACACTCTCTGGATGTGCAATTAAGGCTTCTCTCATATTTATTACAACCTCATTTCCCTGATGTTTCAATACGCATAAGTAACACTATCATGAGAAAAAATATTAGAGAAGTTAAGGCTTCCAACTCCTCCACTGGCTAAGATGTGATAAAATCGACAATATGGTCACATCCCTCCAGGGAAGACCTGACACCAAGTTGTATGTTACCAAGTGTATGAGACTGGACAAACACACATATTTACTCAAATGCAGTATCCTACCAGAAAGCGGGTCTCAGGATCTGACTGGTGGCCTCTCATTCTAAGAACAAGGCTGTAGTTTCCATGGATTCATTTTGGTCTCTTAGTTTTTGACATCTGTTGTACGACCACTTCCTTGGCCCCTACACCTTCTGGAACACCACCATTTCCATTCCCCCTTCATTTAATGTAGCCATTACATTAGAATTCAGAGGTATGAGAGTTTGGGGCAATTTTGTGAGCTCAGAGAACTTCACGTTGCAGCCTTGGGTCTCCAATACTCTGTTGGCCACCACACTAGCTCAATCATCATCCTCCTGAGCTGGAGGATAAATTGGTACTTTTGTCAACATCTAAGGAACTGCTCCAGCCTTCTTATTTTTTATGAAAGTCACTTTCTCTCAATTGATATTAAAGGAATATTCTTAAAAGGTTAGAAATTGTATTTTCCAAGAACTTTAGGCATTTAAGGTTCAGTTTTTCTGTAACTGCTGAGGCAAAATATGTAAGACAATTTAGAGTCTATGATCTTCAGAAAATCAAGGTTATTGTAAACAAGTGAGGGCCACTGTGTATTAAGAGAGCTCATTTACAGAACATATTCCTGTCCCCTAAATAAAATAATCCAGGTTCTTACAGGTTGGGCCCAGGGTAATATACCTGTCCTGGAATCAGTTTATATAGATTGAAAAATTGAGATATATGTTGCACGTTGTGGTTTTGTCCTCTAAGTTACTTGGGAAGTGACACTATATCATATCTATGTTCTAGTATTGCTTATGTGAAAGAAAATAGTTAATTAGCCTCATAGCATCCTTAACTCATAGCTCCTAAGTAGAGCACTAAAAGAAATGTTTCCGGAAAAGAGCCGACAGTCTCCAATGGGTCTCAAAACAAAAGAGAGTATATTGTACTATATTAGCACCATTCTGCTCCTTGCTTCCATGAATTTGTTTATTTTAGATACTACATATAAATAAGATCATACAATATTTGTCTTTCTGTGACTACCTTATTTTACTTAACATATGTCCTTCTGGTTCATCCACATTGTTGCATTTTGAAGGATTTCCTTTTTTTAAAGAGTGAATAATATACAATTGTATCTATATACCACATTTTGTTTTTTCATTCATCTATGGATGGACATTTAGGTTGTTTCTACATCTTGGCTATTGTGAATAATGCTGAAATGTATGTTGAAGTATACTGATTTCAGTTCTTTTGGATAAATACTCAGAAGTAAGAGTGTTGAATCAGATGGTAGTTCTATTTTTAATTTTTTGAGGAACCACCATATTGTTTTCCATAATGGTTGCACCATTTTACATTCTCAACAAGTGTGTAAGGGTTCTAAATTCTCCACATTCTCTCCAACACTATCATTTC